ACAAGCCTGGTCACGAAGTAGCCCTGCTCTTACAAAGACTTTGTTTTTTTGAATTCATTAACGTAAGATGCAGGAAGACTAGCCCATCGATAACCCTCCGTCCCAACTCCGCCGTAAAGCGAAGGACGTCGCAGTCATCGTGGTCAGTCACCGAAATCACCGCGGCCAACATCCTGCCAGCCTGCGCATCCTGCACCAGGGATCCTTCGTTTCCGTTTGGCGCGCTCTCTAGTGAGCAGGGCGAGCCCGTTTGTTCAATGTGTAGGATTTGATAAAAAAGCAGTCATCTGGGAGACACTGGATGATCATCTGTTCTTCACCATCTGCAGATTGAGGGAGGCTGCCTGATGCTTCAGAGTCCCCACGCTTTCGCCCGCTCCCATGAACCTTGCCTTGCAGGGGAGCAAGGCATCAACGCTAAATGGGTCTCTAGCAGTCGTCGACCAGAGAGCCAACCACCTGAGACCTCCCTCTGCCAAAGTCCTCCCACACGTTTTCGGCAACCTTCATGAGAACAAGAAGCCCCGGGCCGAATCACATCATTGCGCATGCTTTGTGCCATGCACCACCATCTCGTGTAACTTGTCACCCTGTCGGCTTGTGCCGAAGCATAAGGCATGGTCAATTCTGGCGTTGGGGAGGACTACTGTTCCCCAGTTTTACGAGGCACAATGCATTATGCTCTAGGCGTTAAGCAGAAGAACTCCACGGGGGTTACACGGGGGTTTCGCTTACTCACGGGAAACTAGCTGTGATGCCATCTTGCCAGCCAGTGCAAAAGTCACATTGACCAAATCTTGATACCAATCAGTCTGGGATCCTGCCACGCCATTTGTCAATCGAAGGAGATATATCTTGGGCCTCATGTCCCGCCCTCACACAACTTGTACTCGTACAGTACTTCGCCAACAAGTCTACCTCTCACCCTCCCTTTCGAGCACAGTCGTCCTCCCCCAGCAAGCCGGAACGTGACTGTGCCGTACAAGTAGATAAGCCGACAGCGGCCGAAGCTTTGTCTCATATAAGAACATGGGGTATGAGTCCTCGGTACGCCCACCCAGATTCCATCCATGCTGGACCCACTGTTCCTCAGGTCTGTGCTTTTGACAAGCAACAGCCTGCGTCATGATGGGAGAGGATGGACCCCATAAACAACGAGCAACCTGCAACGTGGATCAGACGAAAGGACCAGACAGATACCATGTCCATGGTAGGAGACGACGCCAAGGGTAGGGTGCTTGATGCGACCTGTCGGCTGGCACTGCTTAGTCTGTAGGAAGGCTTTTTCACCCTTTCCAGACCCCTCGACCCTTGCCGCCTCAACTGAGGTTCCGAGGACGGGTGGTGTGTTCCACCAGTTTCATCCCCCTCCTTTCTTCGACTGAGTACTCCGCTCCATTTCCCCTCCAATCATGAAATGGGCAGACGAAGATGCTAATGCAACTTGCTTTGACCATTCACACTCCTATTCATCCAGCTGTTTGTCGCCAGGTCTCCCAGGTGCCACCCATCGACGTCGCCGATAACAGCAGCTTCAAGCCTTTCAATTTTCTCGCTCTCTGAGTGGCCATCCTGCATCGGCATCCGCTCAAATAGTCACCGTCGAATCTTGCCTGTATTTCTGGCAAAATCCATCAGGCTATCCATAACCTCGGAGTAATCTTTGTCCGTTGCCCGACCAGGAAGTTGAGCAACGCCGGTGACCGAAAGGGGGATCGACACCATCAAGCACACGACAGGGGGCATTACTAGAAGGTGAGTCTTGAGTGCTATATACTCGGTACACCCTCGAATGCTAGCAAGGTTAGCATTGAGAGGTGTTCTTCAACCCAGCTGACATTGGCTAAAGTAGCATAAGCTTGAATCTGCATACCAACAAGGCAAGATGTCAGACCTCAATAGCCCAATCAGTCCTACCGCGAAGCCAAAATCCAAGTCCTATGAAGGATCATGCCATTGTGGCAGAGTTAGGTGTGCAAGTGAATGTGCTCACAAGAGACGCCGGTATATTGACCGATGCTAGATTCACCATGAAGCTCTCACCTCCTGTCGAGGATGGCCCAGTGACCAGCTGCAATTGTAGGTCTCAGGATTCCCAACTCCAATCTGGTCCCTGTAGACCAGGCTTCAAGTCTCCTGGCATGGGACTGAACTGATTGACTTGTCTGCAGGCTCTATCTGTACCATCAATGGATATCTTATGGTGTACCCATTAGAGTCCAACATCACCTGGCTCAGTGGTTTTGATGAACTCACCACTTACACCTTTGGCCCAGAGATGATTGCGCATTCCTTCTGCTCGACTTGCGGGACGAGCATTGGCGGGAAAAGCACCGATCCAAATTTCTTTGCCGACAATCGGGCTTTGAATGTAAGGGCGTTTGGTTTCCGAAATCCTGTCGTTATTGCAACCACTTCTGCAACACTAGAACAACGCCTCCCCCCCCCCCCTCCCCCGGTCGTCTAGTTGTTGCTATAGATACCAGACTAACCGTCCTGACTATAGGTGCGCACTTTGAAGGGCGTCGATGTCGACGCGCTGAAATTGAGGAAAGTTGATGGTCGAAGCAAAGCGATCAAGCTCCCCTCGGACGCACCTCGCAAACTGTCCCGTTGATTCCTACAAGGGGATGTTGTGCCACAGATTCGAGGGTCACTTCAAGACCAGAGGGAGAAAAACGCATTGGGGCAACAGGCAGGGAATCAAGTGTATCTGCTAGCGTTGTACCTATACTCTTTTTTCCCACAGCACCCTCCTTCCATAGGTCACATCGTTCTGGTTGTTCTTTGCGTCCATATATGCATCATGTACAGAAAAGCCAATGGCGGATTCAATTCGACCACAAGGGGAGAAGAAGACGAGTTTTCAAAACCCTGGTGTGCTTTCTCGAACCGTGCCACAAGCATGACTCCTTTTCCCTCGTCTCGTCCGGAAGCAAGATATGGTCTTCATCCACCGCAAGGGGCCAGGAGAAGACCATTGGATACAAGGCGGAAGGCTATGTATATGGTCTCGACTGATGACCGGATCAGAGAGTGGACTATCGACTTCGACCCGCTGCTTTGACAGGTCCAGATAGGGCCCTTTATTGCGATAGAGGAAATGCTACGACGGACTTTCGTTCCATTGTTCTGTCTGACACGTGGACCTCTCGCTGCTAGGTAGCTACGAGGATATCCCGTTTACATATCATTGATTTCAACCACGCTGGATCTCCCCACCACAACAGAAGGATTTCACTACATTTTCATGATCACTTTATCCATGGCTTCCTGTCCCACGACGGGAGAATATTACACACAAAACTCCTCCAGCGCCTGTCCGGAATGCTTGCCTTGTATATCACAATCCTCATTTTTGGAGCATACAATGAACACCATTCAAAGGTCGGCCTCCTCAAACACCTTGTAACTGACATGGACTCTTTCTCTCCACTGTCCTGTCTTCGACAGAAATAAATATCCTTACGCAGACGTGGGTAGCATGTACATCACTGTTCCCAGCGCCGTCAGCCCAACTCCAGCCCACCACCACCTATCGGCATTGTAGAAATCGGCGGGTGGTTGCTTGATGATATGCGAGTCTCGGTTCAGCGGCTGGAGGATCTCTTGTTCCCCGTCTCCCCCATCTGTTCGCTTGACCCTCGACTTTCCCGTCGCACTTGGTGCACTCGTTGGATTCAGTGTCTGAGTTGGTAGCATCTGTGGCGGGCTGTACATCAAATACATGGGCTGCAAGGGAGCTCCGTCGAACTGGTACAGGTTCAATCTGGGCACGTTGTGGAAGGGATCGGTGAGGACTTGGTAGGACTGAAAGAATTCAGGCTGCTCGTAGCGGATGTAGATGGCGTTGTCGTAGGAACAGTGGGCGGATGTGAGTTGGCGACCATCGACGCCGAAGGGTGTGAGGACAATGGAGCCGTTGCCCGGCAAAGAGTAAGTGCCGTGCTGCCACTGCATTATCAAAGATGGGCATTGGGGAGTCGTAGCTAAAAAGAAGCGATCATCAGTATTGTTTCTTGCTTGCCATCTTCCAGGAACCAAGTGGAAAACCCCTCAAGGTGGAGGATCTTCCATGTAATGGATCACAGGGGTCCAAGCATACGATTTGAGACTGCCCGATAGTACGCCTCTTCATAATATCCATCGCTCGTAAAGGAGTAGGAGATCCCCGCGAGTTCGGGCTCGATTAATTTGTCTGCGACGGGATCGTAGAAACCCTGAGAGCCAGATCAGTAATTTGAACCAACAAAAAACAGCCGTGAAACACGCATTGGCATCCATGTTGGCAAGGGAGGAAACACTTACAGGACCAGTGACGACCTTTTTGGACTTTGTGGTCCATGTTCCCACGAGGGCGGGATCAAACTGCGCTCTCACAAGGCCCGCCAGGCCAAGTGAAAGGGTAACGACAGTTTGTATCGAGGGGATCATTGTGGCATTGTTTTTAGGGGTTGTGAGAGGGCGTCGAGGATGTCGAGGCGGGACGGGAAGGGGAAGGGATGGTCGTTGTGTTCCACGGAGAGGGGTTGGAAAAGAAAAAAGAAAGATGACGGACGTCTGCAGTCGTTGGTTGTTGATACAATCTGTCTGACTTTGAATCTAGAATTCTCACCCTTTGAGGCTGGCGTGGCTGCTCGCCTTGGGAGATGTTGACGCGGAGGCTGAGGCGCATGTGCAGGGGTTTTTCGGGCAGCGGATTTGCATGCGGACTTGGAGCTTGTTTTGGGGCTGGTGCATGCGGTTCGTCAGAACCAGGTTGTTTCAAAAATAGTCTCTCTCTTACCTGCGACAGCTCTTCATCCTGCACTCCACAAAGAATTTACGAGGTCCCTGCTTGGGATGCCTTTGCCATCAGATCACCTCTCTCTCCTAGATACAAAGCGCTTAGTGGCGAAATCGATCTAGAAACCCAGGATGCACGTATGCCGCATGTACTTTGGGATTGTTGCTCGATGATGCCGTACTCGTCATTTCGAGCTCTACGAACCATGACGACAATGGCTTTGAAGGATCAAAAGGCAGCATTGCGAAAGAGAGTCACTGGGCTTATAAAAGCCCTTGACTCAAATCAAATCCAAAGGCAATGTAGGGAGTGTTCATACTGCGGATATCAACTTTAGCTGATGGTGAAAGCGGCCAATATCACGGAGCATGTGCTGCGTTTGCCAGCTTATCAGAATGCAAAGGCCGTGGCCATCTTCCTGTCAATGCCTGGTAGAGAGGCTTCAACTCGAGATATCGTCTTGAATGCCCTCGACAGCGGGAAGGCGGTCTTCGTACCTTACCTACACGCAGGGGAAACTCCAAAATCAAAGGTAATGGACATGCTGCAGTTACAGGACAAGGACGATTTTCACTCGTTATGCCCTGATGCTTGGGGCATCCCGTCGCTGTCAAAGGACTCGGTCGAGAGGAGGAGGAATGCTCTTGGTGGAATTGGGATCTCGAACCACAATTCGGGCTACCAACAAGATCCTCCAAGTCTGGATCTAATGTTCATGCCTGCCGTAGCTTTCGATCAGTCTCACCGTCGCCTTGGTCATGGCAAAGGCTTCTACGACCGCTATCTTTCCAAATATAAAGACACTCTCAGCGGAAGCCAAAGTGGACGACCAATGCCGCTCTTGGGTGAGTGGCCGACCCCCGAACTCTTGCCAGCTGCTTTGCGACTAAACCCTTTGTCTTGTAGTCGGGATTGCCCTTCGCGAACAGATTCTGCCGCCTGGCGAGACGATTCCTGCGGACGAACATGACTGGACAGTCGATCAAATAGTGGTTGCTGATACCGAGTGATGCACTACGGGCATCGTTCCTCTAGCACAACTTGATCTCCGTCTGAGCTGATGCCTGATAGATATGGCGCTTGGCGTGAAGATCGAAGTAAAACAATGGTCTATCCGCTCTAGTCCAGAGACTGGATCAATGAGACATTATCGCCCTTTAATAGAATTTGTCCTGAGGGTTATCAGCTGCAATCCGTGCACGTAAAGCTCCAATCTCATCATACCAAGCTGCCTTCTCTTCTCTGGGGTATCTCTTGTAGCCAGTTGTACCTCGACCGCGTCATCAATCACTAGATTCATGAATTCGTCGAAGCCCTGCTCAGTGGTCAGTCGAAAGATCCCTCGAGTCCAGTAAGGGCACACACCCTGATTTTGCCCTCAATACGCGTGCGCAAATTCTCGTAGAGCCAGATGGAGACTGTCGAGCGCTTCTGCAACAGGCTGAAAATAAAATGGATAGGCGCAAGAAGAGTTTTGCGACCACCACCGCCGCCGCGTCCAGTCATTGTGGGCACAGTTTGCGCCTTGAGAGTATCTTCTGCGCTAGATTTGTTCGGATCGAGGGGTCGCTTGCACAGATCTAACACTCTCGGCCTCGAGACGTGCAATTATCAAGTGTGTTGCGGGATGGGCTGTCGTGATCTTGAAAAAGAAGTTTCGGCGCAGTGACTGAAAATCGAAAATGCGGAGGAAGGCTGAAGTGGGAGGCAAGGCTCGCAACCTAATAAATCAGAAACTGAGAAACTGAGGTCATTCCCTAAACATCTGATCTCTGCGAATTTACAACCACTCTCTTCTACAATTCTTTGCTACGGCGTCTGTCTACCCGATCCTATCTCCTCTAAATACATTCTTTGTTCACCTTGTCACTGGATGACAACGACCGCACTGACCGCTTCACTGCTCGGCCTAAACGCCTGTGTGCCCCTCAATCTCATCGCACTCATCAAGCTCGACCGCCATGGCCGATAAGGCAAACCCTACCAGCGGCTATGCGCCGGTCCTTTCGGCTCTGGCAACGATGCAGAGCAATGCCGGCAAAGAAGAGAAAACGGGAGCCCATGAATTCCTTGAAAAGTTTCAAAAATCGGTCTGTGGCGACCCTCCACACCACATATACTCGTGCTCATGTGGGAATAGCTGGAAGCGTGGAACACCACTCATGCAATATTACAAGACTCGTCCGCTCCGGCAGAAGCCAGGTTGTTTGCTGCGACGACGTTAAAGGGAAAGGTCTGCACTGCCGGTCACTTGGGCAAGTTCAGCAGCGTTGACGCTTCCAGATTACATACGACCTCCATCAGCTGCCAGCAGACGCCCTCACTCCTCTCCGAGACTCACTCCTTTCTCTGCTTCAACTCTATATCTCGGGCCCTCGGCCCGTTCGGACGCAGTTATGCGTGTGTCTGGCAATCCTGGCAATTCAGTTGACAACGTGGAAAGATGTCTTGAGAACAGTGGGTTCGGCTGTTGGCAGCAGTAGGGACGGCGGAGACTGTCTGCTCGATTTCCTGCGCATCCTACCAGAAGAAGTCACAGAAGGCCGCAAGATCAACCTTTCAGTATGTTCGACCACGCAGCATTTCATGCTCGACCTTGCCGCAGCACCACTCTGGAATCCGATCGTAGTCTAATCCAGCATTTTGCAATATAGGAAGAGGAACTTGCCGTTCGGACCAAGGAACTCCTAGAGGACAACTCCGCTCAGGTCTTGAATCTTTTGGTCTCCTACGCCCAGTCATCAAGTAAGGAATCTCCCTTGTCCAATTGGAACTGCTGACATTTTTCTTTCTTGTAGCCCAAGCTGCTCACAATCCTCATTTGTATTCGTGTATCGCATCGTGGCTTCGAGAAATTCCCACGATCGATGTTGTGAACTCGCCCCTATTGAATGAAATTATCGACGCCCTGCAGGACAGCGATTCCTTCGAAGCAGCTGTGGATTGCCTTTGCACCATGTTCAGAGATACCCGAGACGTCGACGAGTCACAAAGTGTTATTCGCATCCTCTATCCCCGAATCATCAAGCTGAGGCCTATGATCGCCGAAGCTGCTTCCACGGAAGACAACGATCTCATGAAGGGCATTACGAGACTGTTCGCAGAGGCTGGTGAAGCTTGGGTTGTTCTCATTGCACGCATGCCGACCGAGTTCCGCGAGCTGGTCGAATGCATTCTTGAATGTTGCGTACTCGACAAAGATCGAGAAGCTATTTCGGTCACGTTCATTTTTTGGTATGAACTCAAGCTGTTACTCACTCTCGAAAAATACAGGTCCGCTCGAGCTCCTCTCGCGGACCTCTATTCGAAATTGGTGGATGTCATGATCAGACACCTCGAATTCCCCACACCAGAGAATGGTAATGAGAAGGACCTCTTCGACGGAGATCGAGAAGCAGAGGACAAATTCCGCAGTTTCCGACATAGCATAGGCGACGTCCTCAAGGACTGCTGCGAAGTCGTTGGAGTCACGGAGTGTCTAACAAAAGCCTTCGCTCTGATACAAAGTTGGGGGCAAAAATACGCTGCACAGGTCTCAGGCACCACCGTACCACATTGGCAAGAGCTTGAAGCGCCACTTTTCAGCCTCAGGGCAATGGGCCGAATGGTCAGCCCCGAGGAAGACACGGTCCTCCCGCAAGTCATCCCGCTGCTTACAACAGTGCCAGATCATGAGAAGCTCAAGTTTCAAGCCATCATGGCGCTGGCTCGCTATACCGAATGGACCGCTCAACATCCAGAGACGCTAGAGGCACAGCTGAATTACGTTATTTCTGGATTCAATCACAGCTCTCAGGAAGTGGTACAGGCAGCAGCGCTGGCCTTCAAGTTCTTGGGGACCGACTGCCACAGCTTGCTGGGCGATCACGTCCCACAACTCCACAACTTCTACGAAAGCGTCATCGACAAGCTCAAACCTACAAGCCAGGAAGAGGTAACCGAAGGAGTTGCGGCGGTCGTGGCGGCCCAACCGCTTAGCAAGATCTATGAGACGTTGAAGCTGTTCTGTGACCCTGTCATGAGACGGGTGGTTGCCCTCGCCGCACAAGCCACGGATGAGAATACCGAGAAAACGGTTGCTGACTACCTTGGGCTTGTGACAGTCTTCTTCGTTTTCGTACAGCCTTATGTTTCGCCATCTGAAGAGAACCCGGCCGTCAAATATTGCCAGGAGGTGCTGCCGGCTCTTTCACAGATCGCAAAGCACTTCACGCGATCCATGCCGATCCTGGAAAGAGTGTGCAAGTGTTGGAGGACCATGGTGATAACCTACCGAACTGCCACAGCCCCGCTTCTGCCCACACTTGCGACGGGAATTGCTGAGGGCTTTGAAGCGTCCCGACAAGGCTGTTTCCTGTGGGCGACAGACGCCGTCATTCGGGAGTTTTCGTACGGTTCAGAGTTCGTTGACGAGGCCACGAGTGACAACGTGTATCAATTCTTTGAGCAACAGGCCACAGTCTTTTTAAGGATCCTAGCCGAACTACAACCGACCGAGCTTCCGGATGTTATCGAGGACTTTTTCCGCCTAGCTTCTGATGCTCTTCGGTTCTACCCTCGGAAAACCCTTACTTCGAACCTTGCTCTGCCCATGGTCAATGCGTCGTTAACGGCCCTGACGCTGCAGTTAGTCGAGCCACTCCAAGCTACTCTGCACTTCTTGAGAGACTTTCTGGACTTTGGCTTTGAGCAACCGCCAATATCCAATTTCGAAGGGCCCAATGGTGAATCACTTGGAAATCCACCAGAGGTTCAGGCAGCGGTGAGGCAAGTGCTGAGCTCGAGGGGACAGGAAATCGTGCACCGAGTCCTGACTGGCATGATGTTCAGCTTTCCCGAGGACTGCTACGCCGATGCCTCTAGTATTCTCCTGTCGCTGTTCAAATTGGTACCTCAAGCGGCGGCTCAATGGATTCAAGGAACTTTGGTGGCCCTGCCTGCAGGCACACTAAAACCAGCCGAAGCTAACAAGTTGATGAAAGGCATTGGCGACAAGCTGCAGCAGAATCAGCCGCACAAAGTGCGGGTGCTGCTTCAAGACTTTACGAATTCGTATCGACGACGGAATGTGGCGCCGCGTGAAGGGTTGGGCAGGCTGGAAGCGGCGAGGTTCAAGTTCAGCGGCTGATCGACAGAACGAGGTCCTTCCTTGATGGAAAGATTTACTGCATCGACCTGGTTCAGCACAGCGGAATGAATTGATGTCATTTCTTGGGCATCCTTGGGGCGTAACTCGTGCGGAGGCGGCTTTGACTGGCAGGAACCACATCTAGAGCCCGAATACCAGATTTCCTTTGCTCTTGATACCACACAATGCAATTCGATACAACATGAGTCAACCTGAAGCACGCGTACATCTCTAGACCAGTACTGTTGACTTGAGCAATGTCCATCTGGAATGGGAGTTCCGGGTGGGATAGGATCAACATGTCCGACTCGCGGGGCGCATGATAGGATGGTTGAGGGATGATATGTGAGGGTGAGGGAGAGGGAGAGGGAGAGAGAATCACGCACAACCAAGACAGACGGAGAAAGTGAATCCGGAGGGGCGAGGTGAAGAGGTGAACAAAAGAAGCATGGAAGGGCCAGTGTCAGGACGAGGACGACGTACCTACCTACCTACCTACTGCCTTCATACCGATCAATAAAATAGATACTTCGGTGTCGGTGTCGGTGTGGGCGTAGGCGTTGGGCGATGCGAGGCGCAGGTGCAAGCAGCCACAGCCAGAGGAGTTGGTTGGGGTTGAGGATTTGTTCACGGTTCATAAAGGAGAGAAAAAGTTGGAGCGCGATACGCAGCCAAGTATACCACGATACCACTATATCACTATATCAGTCTATCAGACATTCAACCGATTCACAATTCACGCAGGGATTGATGTCTAGGCATGTATCTACTACTGGGTAAATACATGACTAACTACCTACCTCCTTACATACCTTCATACCTACTTATTAGGTACGTAGATAGATATCAACTCTAGCAGACCCGAAGGGTTTACCCTACTCCCTTTACAACTGCTATTCCATCTCCACCCGGGCATTGTCCCTGTCGTCTCTTATATTCTCTCCTTCTCATCGCCATCACATCAATAATAATACCGCCTCCTACGCCGCCGGATAAACAGAGCCATTCCCACAACCAACAGTGTCAAGGGCACCGCCACGACAAAGTACCACTTGATCGAAGGGTTATCGGCCAGGACGTCGACGTTCATTCCGAAAAGACCCTGTATAATGTGACGGCTCGAGTCTCAGTAAAGGGCGTTTCAAATGAAAACGGGATGCTTCGAAAATCTGGGATCTGGTGATGAATTGGCGATAGTCGTGTAAGGACAACAAACTCACCGACACAGTGATAAGCGGGAAGAAAATAAACGTGATCCATGTAATGTTGCCCATTTCCTTGGAATAGTTTTCAGCAGCTTGGGCATTCCGGGCGCCAATGATGTTGTACACCTGTTCTCGTTTCGTCAGTTGGCCAGTTCTATTGCTCCGTTGCTTCTGTGACGCAGTGAGCCGGAAGATCCATACAAAATCAGAGATGTTCCTCCCGCGGTTGGGAAACTCTTGGGACACAATCTGCTCCATCTCGTTGAATTCGCTGATGATCCTCTCCAGGCGCACGATCTCGTTCGAGGGCGATGTCGGAGTGGCTGGGGGTGGAAATAGGTTTGCACTGCGAGACACAGCTTCCAGGTACCCCAGAGCGTGCGCGATCGTCTTCCTTTGAGCAAGCAAGAGCTGGCTCATGGTCGACCAGTCCTGCGAGTCACGCCACGTCTGTCGCGCGAGTTCTTCGAGATCAGCAACGTCGAGATCGTCGTCCAGAGCGCGAGTCTCCTGGAACCATCGGTCAGAGGTGTCCACAAAACAACCGTTGTTGATCATACTGAAACCTTGATATGTTCTGAGCTCTGGTCAAGCACTCTCCTCCACTCCAAAAGGACGCGCTCCCATACGCGGCACACTAGCCTGTAGATGAATACCACTGCTGTGGTCTCTGTGTCACGACTCGTGTTCTGCTGGTCGATGACAGTCCAAAGTCCTGGGTCTGTGAGCCAGTCCTTGAAGCCCAGACCATCTACCTCCGAATGGAGTTCATTGAAGAGTATCAGTGTGCGTCGGTGCAGCAAGGGGACCACAGAGGCCCAGCTCGCCGGGCACAGGTCGACATTCCTGAACTTATCTGTCGACCTCATGCTGAGGACGCTGGCGACGCACGTCCTGCGACGGACAATGAACTTCTTCTCGGCCTGGCAAATCACTTCAATTCCTGTGCATCGCTTCCAGGCCGAGTCGAACTACCTTGAGCGTGTATAGCTCTTTGAATTTGGTGTCCAGCGTGGCAATTCCAGGGCTTCTGTGTAGAGAAATCCAGTCAAAGCCAAAGTGTACCAGAAGACGTTCTAAAACCGTGAATAAGTCAGCCCTCAATCGAACCTGGGTATTCTTCGTCGAGGGCCAAACAGGCCAGGGTGATTTGGACCCACGTCTTCCAGTAAGCATCGATAGGTTTGAAGTAGGGCCGATCCGGGAAAAGTAGAACTCCAAATCGTTTCGTTTATCGGCTTCGAACAGGAATTGTTGAAATCGCACCAGTGACGCATCCTCTCGACCACCTACAGCCGGTGGGTTCTGGAGATTGTCGACCAGGCCTTTGACAAACCTCCGGCACAAGAAACTGCGGGCATAGGGCCAGTTGTTCTCGTAGCTGTCGGCCGTTCGTCAGTGGTGGACGGGGAAATCCTGCTCAGGCCCTTTCTTGATACACAGGCACTCTTGCCTTGGCTTACTAGACACGATCCAGTGGCTCTTCTCCGCCGACGGGCGTGTTTGGGTGGCCTGGCACACCTGGTGAAAACAAGGCCTGGTTGACTGAGTTCTGTAGGTCCTGCCATGTGCTGATCTGATTTTCGTTGTATGTCACAAAATACTGTCCGAAGTCGAGTCTGCAGAGGAAATCAACGACCCTGCTGTGCGTTCCTAGAAAGCGGTGAGACCGCTGTACAGGTGCGTTTTCTGCTGGCAACGGTTGTGAGAAGAACAGGCTGTCTACCAAAAGGAAGTCCATAGCAAAGAAGTCTCGATTGAAAATGGTGCACAGTCACAGTAGCAAGCGCCTTGGGTTCAGGCTCGAGACGAAGCATTTGGCCAAATTCTGTGCTAACCCTCGAGAAGTTCAGATGGAGGGGCTGAGAATATGCAGCCTCCGTTGACAGGTTCCACAGTCTCGTATTGAGTTTTCTGCCTTGCGTGACAAGGCAAACATTGTGACCAGCTGAGAAGAGCTAGTAGATGCACAATGATATAACGAGTCCTGGCGATGCTCAGCCCCGCTCAGCCCCCTCCCCAAAAGCCCTTTTGTTCTGGGGGTATTTAGAGGATGTCCAAGGCTCGCAAAGAACTCGACGAGATGTAGATTCTGAGTCGTTGAACAGTCCAGTTTAGTCGAACAAAATACCAGAGAAGTGACAGCAACGAGCACTAACCCATCTGATCTATCCTACCACCATGAGTAAGTGACAACAAGACAAGACTGTGTAGAAGACTGAAGTCTAACGCGACCCTGGAATGATAGCGCGAGGTTGTGTGGTGGTAATGACGCCTTTTGTACACTCAGGCTGTCGGTACATTGACAACGAGGACAAACGCCACACGGTCTATACCTATGAGTACCACAACAGCCATTGTCGCCTGCACAGAAATAAGGACGAAGCCTGTTCTGTCCGCGAGAGAGAAGGAGTATCGATGGCGTATGAGCCTGGCTCGGATCCTTGCCCCAAGTGCATAGCTCAGGTGAGTGTCGCAGGCAGCGGCAGGCACGGCGTGTGTATGTGGTGCTGGTACAGAAGATGCTAATTCAGCCTTGGTGGTATAGGACCGACACCGCGCCAACAGGCAAGCCCATGGGCGCCCCAGGGCTGACGGCCAGAGAAAGAGGCGAAGGCATCCGCAGCCACGGTCAGATGCTCCTCGGCATAAAAGGAAAGACCGCCGTGAGGTCGACCCATTTCGTTGCGCGGTGATGTAGGAAAAGTCGTTTGAGGTTCAAGCTCGTTCGTCTCGTTCGCAGGCGACCCACGGAGTTTCCAACACATGTACCCAACTCGATATTAAGTGCGGAATGAGCCGAGCCGAAACGAAAGACTGGTCGAATGCTTTGGAGCCCAACCCGGTTTCTACGAGGCTCACGACCTCTTAAATGCACTTGCTTGAGCTCAGCTCCAGAGTCAGTGCATCTCGGTTCCTAGTAGAAGGAGGGCTCAGCGTTGGCAGAATGAGCCAGAGAGCCAACCAGGAACCACTGCGCCGACGACAGAAGTGGGTGACGAGCGCTGTGATACGCCTGAATCCGGCTTCAGGATTGACAGGACTTGCAGAATGTGCACCCTGCCTGCTTGCTCTCCACCATCCACACACCCACACACCCGAAGTCGAAGTCCAGTCCCCTTCTTACACAAAGAAGCGAGCCCATCGAGCGAGCAAGAGACCTACCGCCACTCTCAATCCCTCCTGCGGTCCGGTATTCCCCTTTAGAGAGGTGGTCCACTGCGACAACCCGATGGAAGTGGGGGTTTCTCGGGTCCGCGCGACTGCTCGAGATATACATACTCACAGAGTGTATACCAGAATACGCCACTTCGTCGCTGGCTGGGTTGGGTGTGGTGTCGGCCGTCGAGACGGGTGGGAGACAGGGGGGCAGAGAGGCAGAGAGGTGAAGAAATATGAGGAACCGGGACAAACAGGGCAACAGACCCGTAATACCCGCAGGATGCATGGTTGCAGATATATTGTCCATTCTCCTTTACTCACGCCGGGTCCACGGGATTGTGATAGCATCGCTTTTGCATTTCGCTCTTCTCTGTTTCCCCCCCCCCAAAACTCCCCTATCTTCGCCACTGGACTGTACTGTTGCCTGGTCGTCCTCCCGTGTAAAGCATGCGCCAGATCGCTCACGATTACAAAACAAAGTATTCACCAAAGCGACCGCCCCTCCGACCTTGGTTGGCCGAGTGTTTTGATCCTCTGTACAATTGTATGTCACCAGCTGGCATATTCCAACTGGAACAAGGTATCAGGATCCGTGTCATGACTCCGTCTTCCTCACAACTCCAATGATAACCGAGATATCGTCCAGCTTGCCCCCTTCAGCCGCAATACCCTCATCAAACGCCCTCTCCATGTAAGGCGACTCGGCGTTGGGATCCATGGCAATCTCCCTGGCGGCGTTCATCAGCCGTCGCGCCACATAGATCACGCCATCCTTTTTGGCCTCCTCGAGCTCTTGCTCCTCCTTGTGGGTGGCTGTCTGCGACTGGTCCCCCCAACCGTTCCAGCGAGAGATGCTCTCGCAGATATTATCGCAGATCTCATGTTCCCACAGGTTGTCGGTCACACCGTCACTCAGAACGGCGACCACATCACCGATGCGGACATTATCGACCAAGTCACAGACGGCATTCTTGAGGGGCGTGTCCGGCGAGTTGGTGCCCAACTGGCGGGGACAGTCGAACCAGTGCCATTGTTCCTTGGACCGGTAGAGGATGCGATCGGATTTGTCATCCTTGCTTTCTTTCTCGGGCGGCGATGAAGTCGGTGAGGGTCGTATAAGGAGGATTTTGCAATCACCCAGCGTCGTGGCGAAGATTACTGGTGTGGGTTCGGACTGTGATCCAGAAGGTGGTTTGTAGTAGAGAAGGGCCGAAGAGGCGGTCGTCGTACCGAGAATGTCATTTTTAGTGGAATCCTTGGAATCCTTGCTTTCTTGCGAGGTCGAGGGAGCAGATGAATCTTCATCATCTCCTCGCCTGCGCTCGCCCTCTTCACCCTCCGAATAGACTTCATTATCACGATCCTTGTTCAATGTGCCTTTGGTAGCTTTCTTGGTTGCGTCGTACGCATCCTGGAGACTCTGCACAGGGTCGATATCTCCCAAATCCACCGAGTCCTTCCCGTCGGGTCCTGCGAGAGACTTCTCGACTTCGACGTCCCAGAAATGTGCAATCAGTCGACTCCAAAGGGCGGCGTGGCCCCTCTCTTTCTGAGCCCATGCTCCCACGCCATCATTGACGGCAACGAAGGTCCGATCCGCCGATATAATGATCGCGTCATCGCCGTTGGTTATGCCACGAACAGGTTCTCCATTCACGGTGGGACGGCGGGCGCCACGCGCAACGGAGGAGGGATTGTGCGTTGTGAGAGGGTCGGAGAAGGAGCCGGACGGGAGGAAGACGAATGGAGGCGGAAATGGGCGGGATGGTCGTTTGGCAAAGATGGAATAGCCAGTTTCGAAATAGAAAGGATAGGGCGGCCTCGGAGGGGATGTGGTGGACGAATTCGAGTCCGCTGAGGTCTTGCCCGCTGCGGGTGTGGTTGTACGGCCTTCAGATATGAGATAGCGGCGCAGGTGGGAGGCCGAGGTGCCAATGCCTCGTACGCAGACACCCTCGAGTCGACATACTATCGTTTGCTGTCGAGATGGAGGAGCCCGCACAAGCAGAAGAAAGCAGCGGCCATCGAATAGTCGTGCTACAGCGTGTCTGGATGGTCGGGCCACCTGAGCGAGCATGGAAAGGGCCAGAGCGCTCTCATAATAAGAGCAGCATGAGACTAAAAGGTTTCCAGAGGAAGTGTGTTGCTCAACAAATGGTTATGCTCCAAGTATTGAGAGAAAATCGTCGACAGTAAGGTCAAGTTGTTTGTCGTATGGTAGAAAGATAGTCCGTGCCTGTTGAGCTATCACCTCCATGCGTCAAGAGTGGAACAATAATACGAGGCCTCGTAGACGGTGGGGGAAGCGGTGGAGGAGCCACGAGAGCTTAGCGATCGGCGACTCTGCGGAAGTGCCAGTTGGTGTCAAATCCACTTTTCTCCACCTCCAACATTAGGGATCTATTTCCTCCCGCACCAGCCCGTGGTCTAGACAAATACTACTAGCAGGAGACAACTCTAGGGAGCAAGCAACAGGAAAACATTGGAATCTCGAGCTGGGAGGAGATGATCAGGTTTCTCTGCCTTATGGCCGGAGATATATACAAGTATAAATATATACACTATCTTGGCTGTTCGCCCTCGAGTATGGTACATTATAGCACATGTTGGTGAGTGGTGAGTGACTGCGACAATCTCACATGCGTAGCTGCGCCATTTACCACAAAGCTAATCGGAGTGGCGGGACCGTAGCAACAAAAAGTTGGTTTGACGTCGACCTGCAGAAGCACAACGGCGATGCAAAGGTGATGCCATCGGGGTGTGGTTGAATTTGGTCCAGTGGGATTGTTGATGAGCATGTCAAGTGAGCGGCTTCAACGTCGTGCGCCTCACACTGCCGCCCTCTCCTCATCATGCCTCGCGACGAAGCGCTCTGCTCGTCCTATAAGCTCCTCATACACGGTCCAAGCCAGCGCGGAGCTCATTGCCTTCCTGCCCATTCTCAATGCGAGTCCATCAAAAAAACTTTTTATTCCATCCTCTTTGAGCATCAACCGTGCCGCTTTCCACGTATTCCCATACTTGTGTGGCATCAGCTGCAACCTCGTCTTCACAGCATCGAAAGGATTGGTGATGCTCGTCGCTAGCCCTGCCGCGATGACGCCGCTTGTAGCGTTGATCGATGCCGCAGTCGATGCTGAAGGACGTGTATGGTCGTGACTCGTGGCCGTGGTATGGAGTGGGAAGACCTTGTTCAGATGTGTTTTGCTTGCTTCATAGAAGAGCACGTATAAGCCTGCATACGGCGCGTCACGGATGGCTGTGGCACCAAAGCCAGAGAAGAATCCCTTCAAGCCTTCCTGTGCAAAAATCGATCTTGTCGCAGAAGCCAGAGACTTGTATGCATACAGGTCTGATTCGTAGCGCACCTTAATCACTGTCACCGGCATGATAATGAGTCCCGCAAACACTCTCGCGGTCGCGCCCGTTATGAGATTTTGTATATTCGAAAGCTTTGGCAGTACTGAACTGCTCTTTCTCGGTAGGGATGCTCCATCTCCGGTTCCCTTCACAGTGTTGTTGGCAAGTATTTGACGCAAAGAGCTGAGCGAGGTGAAATACAAGGCAGATCCGAAGCCT